TTAACCTCTGGTGCAATTTCACTGGTTTGAGGCGAATTCTGAGGCGAATTCCTTTCATAGCTGTGGATTTCAAGCTTTACAAAAGACATGGCCAACGAAGATACCTTGTTTCCCCATATAACACTCTTTCCATAGCGAGGCGCATTCGTCACTTGGAGGCGACAGGCTCGATTCCGGGCATAGTAACTTAGGCTTTTGATTTTTATGCTGTTTAGTGTGTTCTTCTATCTTTCTAATTCTTTATAAGAGTGCCCGTCCTTAACATCCTTTTGAAGGAAGTTTTTCGGTAGGAACACAGATGAGTATCCTTTATTTTGTACATTAGTCCCATGTAGATACTTTATAGTTAGAGCATATTAGTGTATGTGTACTGTATTGTTCTGTATGTGTTGATAAAGGCTAATCGCCGCAACGTCCTTTGTTTGTTTATTGTGATCGATTTTGTAAAGCTAACATAAACTATTTGTTGTTTCTTACCAACTTGTTCTCTTCCCTATAATTTCCTAACCCTTTAAATACTTCTTTATAAGAGTGCCTATCAGTACATTGTCTGCTTGTTTATATATTGTCCCATTCATTGCATGTCATTGGGGTTACCTGTTGCAGTTGAGTGATCAGCTCCCTCAGACTTGGAAAATCAGATGCAATAGATTTAATATTTGCATGCAGAGACCTGTCTATTCAGACCACTTCTGTATCCGTCTCTAAAATGACGATGATTTATTGGCGGATGTATTTATTTTGCAGTCCATGGTTCAATCGGAAGGTCGTGGGTTCGCTTTCCAGCGGAGCCGGACTTTTTTCTTTCTTCAGAAATGCCCTTGACTCCTAGATTGACCCAAAGTCTTAACTCTTTGAGTCCCAGGGGGTTTAGTAACACAGGCCCAATGGGTAGTAAAGAGAAACTAAAATTGACACAGCATGCGTTTATTGGGCTTCTAGGTAAGAACCTATGAACGTATGATGCGTTCCCTGGGACTCAGAGATTTAAGTGGGTACCAGGTGCAGTCTTGGAAAGTAAAGGCGGCCGGCGTGAGGCTGACCACATCACCCACCAAGTGCGGATTGGTCTATGAAGATATAGGTCTAGCTCTATATTCTCAATACGCTTAAAGGCGCAGCAAATGGACCTTTACTTTATTTTTACTGTATATATATATATATATATATATATATATATATATATATATATATATGTGTGTGTGTGTGTGTGTGTGTGTGTGTGTGTGTGTGTGTGTGTGTGTGAAACATCAAGCCCAGAAATGGCGGCAAATACTCGAATTTAGTCACGAAAGTGACACAAATAACCCAGACCACAAATATAGGCGGAGACTGTTAACAGCCTCGACTAGCTAGCAACAGTCTGAAAGTCATTTTTTTTTTCTCAAAAGGACTTGGACATATATGTGTGTGTGTGTGTGTGTGTGTGTGTGTGTGTGTGTGTGTGTGTGTGTGTGTGTGATGGTCCTCTTCATTTCGACGAGAAATGGCAAGAAAAAAAAATATGGACAAAATTATAGTAACTAAACTAGTTAATTGACTAACGCTGACATCATCAGTATTCAAACAATTATTATGATAGAATGATATGTAAATGTAAAACATCACGCGCTAGTACAAATACGTTTTCACAATACAAGTCTGACTATTTAAAAAAATAATTAGGTATATTTATTGACCATCAGTAATTAAAATGTGTCGTTTTATATTTGTGTCTTTCAAATAGTCCTCCGACATGTTTGTTGAATGTTGAATGTCCAGTTCCCACTTCTGGGTCCCCTTGTTTAAACAAACTTCTTTAATATGACAGTTTATTAAGTGTAAATTGTTTTCTCTCCGCCCAACCGGAAGTGTTCATCAATTCGTGCCCTCGATTGTTCCTCGCGATCTCGCCATTGAGAAACTAAATAAAACAAACGAGAAGCTATTAAACGGTAAAACAGCATAAAAAGTCCGATCCATTTTTTCGTAATTACCTCTTGCTTTGTTTAACCTTTTACTGCCTGCAACTACAGATGCAACCCTTGTATTTGCTGAATTGTTAATTGGTTATTGAGATGCGTGAGTAAATGTATAAATGACTGCAGCTCGATTGATTCACTTCATTTTTAATGCGGTTGCGTTCCGTTGAGGTTATCAGCAATAAAGGTAATTGAACCATCTCAATCGTCTATTATAAATGTTTTAAAATGCTCTTGTAATATTCTCTATGTGTTGCTTTTCTTTCACGATTTCTTTTTTAAGAGTAGGCCGAGAGAATAAATCGATGTATGGTACAATTTTTTTTTAAACATATGAGAATGAATCATGGATTCGAGAACAAATTATTTGAAATCTGCAGAGATGATGTTTTAAAGGCGAATGCCCCCGTGTGGGTTACGGGGCCCTATTATAGGAAACACAAGAATAGACCCACTGCCTGCCCAAAAGCATGTCGTAAGAGTCGACTAATTGGAAGCTTCCTTCGAAGTCTGAGTGCACCTGCCTGAGAGGCAAGGAACCAACAGTCTGGACACAAATGTTTCAGATCTGTCAAACGGATGCACATGCAACACTCAGGTTCTGGAACAGGACTGCACTCCAGAAGTGGACGAACAACCAGAACTTTCCACCAGAGTTTGCAGCTGCAGAACGCAAAGAAGAAGAAGAAGAAGATAGGTGAATGATGAGAACACCCTAAACATATTAAAAAGAGTAATGAAGATGTCTTGAAAGACGAAGTGGACTGATTACCCACAACAGAAGGGGACAGTTTACACTCTTTGGTTATGTCATAAGAAGTGGACACAGAAGGTCATGGATTCGCTCCCTTGAGGAGCCAGACTTTGAGCCGCGTTAGCGCAGTCGATAGAAGGCTCGCTTTCAAATCCAGCTGCGACTCGCTGCAGCCACGGTCGGTGTTCGAAACCGGGCGGTTCCTGGGGTTCACCCAGCCTCTAGGAAATGGGTACCAGAGTTGACACTCTGGGGTGAATTGAGGAACGTCGCTGCAGCTACGGAGTTACTTGCGGCGACACAGGCGGACAGTTTCTCATCAGCTGTCTGTACTGGTGGCAGAGCACTTATGGTTTATAACTGTGTGCAATGAAGCTGGTTCACATCTCCCGACTTTACCTTTTACCTTTTAAAGGAGAAAAATGGAGTACTTCATGGCGGTGGGGAAGGTGGAGGGAAACAAGAGGCAGCGGAAGACAGAGAGAAAATGCTGACCAGTTTGACATCAAGACCTGGAGGATTATCTGTGTCAGAAATTATTGAAAATACAAGAGACAGAGAATTGTAGATGGGTCTCAAAAAGGCGTTTTTCGTTTTGTTAATAAGGACAGTATGTGGCACTGCTTTTTCTTTCCGGCGGCGGAAAAGAGGCTTACTTCCGACAGTAATGCATCAACATCAAGTGCCTTGCCGACTGACTCAAGACCTCCTTTGGCATTGGTAACTTAACCTAATCCATTTAACGGTTATGGAGATGCTGTTGATAAGGTCGAGAGTTCTCGTCTTCTCCGGCCGGCATCCTGGATTTAGCCTCGCATTCTGGGACAAAAAGGCATGGCTAGCCTGATCTCGAATTCTGAAAAACTCGTATTCTGGAGTATCATAGTACTGCTTTTTGGTGTTAGGTGCCGGCTTTCATATACACTGTTCTTTTCTTCTAAGAATTGACAGGTTGTGGAGCCATTCAATCGCTTGATATGCTGGGATTTTGTTGTCTTGGTATATCAGTGACTCCTTCAATCCATCTGTTTCTGTGTCTCCCTTAGCATCTTAGTGCCTCTTGCTGCCTTCTATGTATCCTCTCCGCCTCTTCCCATCTCATGCCTGTACGCTCTTGTTACTGGTATCGTTGGATACATTCTCATTGAGTAACCGAATCATTTCAGTCTTTGTTTCACTATGAATTTAACGTTGGATATATGTTCTCATAGTGTGTATGTATATATATATATATATATATATATATATATATATATATATATATATATATATATATATATATATATATATATATATATATATACTATAACACGACATAATAGATAATTGGTCCAGACAAATCTGACACATTTGAAAATTAGCGGGTACACATGTGTTTCTTGAATAGTTGTAGTGGTGGGACAGGCTTGCATGTAACCGCGTTAATCGCCGCTTAAACATTCTCTTGCCAAAGAAAAATGCATTCATTTTATTTAATTACTATTTACTATTTATTCACGTCTCCAACATTACGAAAAGAAAGGTTTTTTTTTTGCATGCTTATGCCATTCATGCTTAAACCGTAGCGTGTGAAAGCTACCAGTTGAAAGTACTACAATGCTAGCTGCGCAGAATACTTTCTTATGCGAAGCCACAAGGAGGAAAATGTCACGTGATGTGATCTAGTGTAATTATAACCTGCTAACTCTTACAAATGCGAACTGGTCATGCTTGGACACTGACTGTGCTTACCCCAGCGAAGTACCGGTCGAAAGGGACTGAACCCTCCCCGGAGCGCGTATGGACATGCTCCCATTGCTGTGATGTCACTTCTTGACTCAACTCAACTCACCTCACCGCTGTACAATTTTTGTCTTCTTATCTATATACAAGTATGTTGCGGGCACTTTATTGCCTTTTTTAAATGCATAATTGGGCGCTTTTCAGATATATTGAATTCGAGAGCTGTGTTAAGATTCACTTTGCAATAGAATGATAATTCACATATCGAAATATAGAGTAAGCGAGAGTGAACTTTTACAAGCGAATAAACTAAAAACAGACAACATAAAATCATTTTCACCCTTCCTCTTCCCCCCCCCCCCCCCCCCCCCTTATTTATTTTAAAATCCCAACAGGCAATCCCTAGGGTTCTCATCCAATTGGTTGATTGTTTTCAGTTGTCATAAAGTGAACGAACATAAACCAAACAGAATACAGCGCTTTGAATAATTAAACCGCAATCAATTTCAAATGCATATACATATTTATTTGATTCACAGTTGTATTCCCCTTTGAATTTTCAGAACTAACGACACAAGAGCGAAGCCATTTACCCAGAAATTTCCAGGATTCAAGAGGCGTGCTCACTTTCCAGGAAACGGGAAATTTGCCCGCCAAAGAGAAATTACTAGTGACGGCTCCAAATGCTGTGTCGCCGCCTGCTCTGGCGGGCCTTCAGGCCCAGTCGTGCGTAAATAGTGCCAATATAAATAATATAAACTGCTTTCTTGATGATGATTTGGATAAAACCAGCCATTATGTGAGTAAATTAAAAAATGAGATTGCCCAGAATGAAACGGTCATTTTTAAAACATCGGGGTTATTGAATTCTGGCAGCGATCGGAAGTGTTACGTCATAAGGGAAAGTCAAATTGCGAACGAGGAACGTAACTATGATAAAACATTTGGTTTGTGTAAATTGGGACGTAAAGTAGAAGAGAGTCCGGTTGTTCAAGTTGAAAATATAGACTGGCGAAAGAATTCAGAGGAGACCTTCCGAGACAACATCCACGGAAATGATTCTGTGCTTAACGGTCGGTCAAGACAAAGTTTTGATGTGTATTTAGGTCACAGTCCTGCCACGATGGTCGACCAAGATGGCTGTTTGAGAAGTAAAGAAAATGATGATAATGAGAATGGAGATATCGTTGTTGATGAAGCTAACGATGATGACGATGAGTGTATGGACAGGGAGAAGGATCTAGAAGATTCGGGTAAAAGAAAACAGAGGCGGTACCGAACGACTTTCACCAGCTACCAGTTGGAGGAGTTGGAGAGAGCCTTTCAAAAGACCCATTACCCCGATGTTTTTACTAGGTAAGTTAGATGGATGTTGTTGTTGTTGTTGTTGTTGATGGTGCTGTTTGTTGTTGTTTTGAAACTACATCGTTAGAGATGTTCACTCACGTAGGACTTGAAGTACTGGCAACTGCTGGTGATGGAGTTACCACTCCTGATAGGCAAAGAAGATTCATAGAGTGTATCTAATTAGTTCCCCAAACCGTAGGTGCAAAACTATGGTATCCATTGCCTTCTTCTTCTTCTTCTTCTTTTTCTTTTTCTTCTTTTTCCTCTTCTCCTTCTTCTTCTTCTTCTTCTTCTTCTTCTTCTTCTTCTTCTTCTTCTTCTTCTTCTTCTTCTTCTCTTTTTTATTATTATTATTACAATTATGTTAGATCGGCCTGCGTGAACTTGACAAATAGAGTTTATTTGCCCCCCGCCCTTTCCGCTGTCCCTTCCCCCTTTGCTGAAGGGGCCTAATCCTAGTTTAGGAGAATAATATTAATAATAAAAATAATGTGCTAAATGGGAATTACATATGACAATACACTTGAAATAATATGATATGCATCAGCACATAGTTTTATAGAGAATTTTTATACGTGGTTAAAGGGGTTTGTTTGCCCTCCTTGTAAAATTATTTAGGCAAACGAGTGGAAGGCCTCTAAATGCTTTGGAAGACAAAGAGGTGCTTAAATGGCCTGAGCTTCTAGCTTATGGTGTCTGTGTATCAAACAATTCTTTATATATTTTTTTTCGTTGCATTTTCTCGCCTTTATTGCAGTTCAAACCATTTCACTCATACGTGCAACCCAGTGTCACGCCACTTTTCGTAATGTTTGGACGCCATTTTGTTAAGCCCCAATTCACAACAAACAGGAGCAAAGAGCTACAGTTTGTTCCCAAAAAGTACAAAGTCAATTTACCGTGTTCCCTTAATCGGCATGGTCAAATTTGATTCTGGCGGCCGGAATTTGTAGCTCTGGTCTTCTGCTCGCCTGCCGCCATATTTGTTTACTAAAACTCGCTGTGCATGTTGGGAAATTGATGATAAGGGTCGAGCGTGGGACAGGTAAAAATCCGATTTCCTGGCCGAAAACCGTTAAGACAATGCAGACAATTTTCTTTGTTGAGCGCAGAGCAAATAATTGTTTGCGGAAAACTTAAGCCCGGCAAGAACTCGATGTCTCTAGACCTCACGGCAGCCATTGTTGGTTAACGTCCAAGAAAATATGTCTACCACTTGTGTCAAATATCCGCTGTGGATTTGCAGGTCCCTTGTTCAGATTGAAAATATCCCATCTGGTAACGATTAGGAATGTCTAAAAATGTGAACGTTAAATTTTGGCCCAGTCTCTCACAGGAGAGAGATGAAATCATGGCCAACGCTGGGGCATGTGTGATGCGAAGCTGGGACAGATAAACACAATAATGACAGATTTGTCAGTTTGTAAATCAAATATCTTCGGACATGGGGAAGCAAGTGGAGAGAGAATGATTTTTGGAGGGGTGGCGCAGTGGGTAGCAAGTTTGTCATGGGTTCGAATCCGGATTGTCCCAATACAATTTTTGAGGAAACATTCTTGGAGGTTGGGTGTGGGGGGAGGGGGGGGGGGAAGACCCACTGCCCACTAGCAAGCATTTCGTCATCCTCATCAACATTAACATCTTTATTATAAACCACTTCTACTGTTAAGCGCCGTGGGGAGGAATAATTTACGGTCCAATGCGTGCCGGCTGCCACTGGCTTTGTAGGCATATTTTAAAAGGTGATTAAATAGGAGTTTCGTTAAATCGCATATACTGCGATGGAAGGTGCAAATACCGCAGCCTAGAGGTCACCGCAGCACAACATCCACTTTAAAAGCAACAGTATATCACTACTACTGTGGAGGAGACCAGTCCTCACTAGGTAATATTCCAAAAGACAACAAACATTAGATGCACTACAGCCACCTACATTGTGCAGGCGTTATATCATTTCTGGAAACACGATATTGTTCAATTGTTCTTCCAGTTATTGCCTGACATATGTTGCTGTGTTTCCCCATTTGCAGTACTAGCTTAAAACAACAAGACTTGTGTGCTCTCAGTGTCTTAAACACGCAAAGACGCAGACAAATACTTCTTCTTCTTCTTCTTCTTCTTCTTCTTCTTCTTCTTCTTCTTCTTCTTCTTCTTCTTCTTCTTCTTCTTCTTTTTCTTCTTCTTTTTCTTCTTCTTCTTCTTCTTCTTCTTCTTCTTTTCTTCTTCTTCTTCTTCTTCTTCTTCTTCTTCTTCTTCTTCTTCTTCTTCTTCTTCTTCTTCTTCTTCTTCTTCTTCTTCTTCTTCTTCTTCTTCTTCTTTTTCTTCTTCTTCTTCTTCTTCTTCTTCTTCTTCTTCTTCTTCTTCTTCTTCTTCTTCTTCTTCTTCTTCTTTTCTTCTTCTTCTTCTTCTTCTTCTTCTTCTTCTTCTTCTTCTTCTTCTTCTTCTTCTTCTTCTTCTTCTTCTTCTTCTTCTTCTTCTTCTTCTTCTTCTCTTCTTCTTCTTCTTCTTCTTCTTCTTCTTCTTCTTCTTCTTCTTCTTCTTCTTCTTCTTCTTCTTCTTCTTCTTCTTCTTCTTCTTCTTCTTCTTCTTCTTCTTCTTCTTCTTCTTCTTCTTCTTCTTCTTCTTCTTCTCTTCTTCTTCTTCTTCTTCTTCTTCTTCTTCTTCTTCTTCTTCTTCTTCTTCTTCTTCTTCTTCTTCTTCTTCTTCTTTCTTCTTCTTTCTTCTTCTTCTTCTTCTTCTTCTTCTTCTTCTTCTTCTTCTTCTTCTTCTTCTTCTTCTTCTTCTTTCTTTTTCTTCTTCTTCTCTTCTTCTTCTTCTTCTTTTCTTCTTCTTCTTCTTCTTCTTCTTCTTCTTCTTCTTCTTCTTCTTCTTCTTCTTCTTCTTCTTCTTCTTCTTCTTCTTCTTCTTCTTCTTCTTCTTCTTCTTCTTCTTCTTCTTCTTCTTCTTCTTCTTCTTCTTCTTCTTCTTCTTCTTCTTCTTCTGCCTCTTCTTCTTCTTCTTTTTTTCTTCTTTTTCTTCTTCTTCTTCTTCTTCTTCTTCTTCTTCTTCTTCTTCTTCTTCTTCTTCTTCTTCTTCTTCTTCTTCTTCTTCTTCTTCTTCTTCTTCTTCTTCTTCTTCTTCTTCTTCTTCTTCTTCTTCTTCTTCTTCTTCTTCTTCTTCTTCTTCTTCTTCTTCTTCTTCTTCTTCTTCTTCTTCTTTCTTCTTCTTCTTCTTCTTCTTTCTTCTTCTTCTTCTTCTTCTTCTTCTTCTTCTTCTTCTTCTTCTTCTTCTTCTTCTTCTTCTTCTTCTTCTTCTTCTTCTTCTTCTTCTTCTTCTTCTTCTTCTTCTTCTTCTTCTTCTCCTTCTTTGCTCACCGATTGCAAGCTGTTTGGGAGTTTTACAAGGCAATTTTAAGCTCAGTAATTTGTCACTGTCTACTCTGTGGCTAAGTCGATGTGATAGCTTCGTAATGCCGGTGTGCCGGGTTCGATCCCAGATGCAGGCCATGTGCCTTGCGTTGGTTTCGACAGGTATCAGGTAGGGGGGGGGGGGCGGGCCGATCGTCCAGAAAAACAATGTCAAACTACTTGACGTAAATTTGCCTAGAGAAACCACACAACAGCCAGTGGCTGCTGGGGTTGGTTCTGCAACGTCTTGTAAAGGATACGCAACTTTTTAAAAAAGTTTTCACTGCTTTCTGTGTGGCTAGCGCTTTATACTATACCTGCAACACAAGGAGAGTGAATAAAGGGGGGAGGGGGGTTTTCAAACCGGGTATTTCAGAGTTTCGAACTCCTCACATACCAACGCCAATTATAACTGTTTTAGCTAGCGAAAGAAAACGTTGGATATGACAGGATGAGTAGAAAGTAGTTAATAGTTTTATTATTACCTTACTGTGAGATAATATTTTCATTGTTGTCTCCTCCTTCCCCCTACGCCCCTGTTGTCTTGCAGGGAGGAGCTGGCGATGAGAATTGACTTGACAGAAGCCAGAGTACAGGTTAGTGAGGGTGTCTGTTCGAATCCCCTGCTTCAGTATTAACTTTTTTCCCCTCCCTTTTTTTTTTCAGTATACTACTGTAGATGATTCTTCGCAGACCTTCTCTCTCATCGCTACCAGCCGGGTACTTTCGATCTTTCTTTATGTTGTCTGTCTTCTGTACTTTCATGCCTTGGCTGACTCTAACTCCTGCGGTACCAATCAAGGCACCATATGTTTCTAGATAATTACAAAAATTGTATGTTGTTCTTGCTTGGTCTATATTATGCAGTCATCATATTAACTCTTTCAGTCACACAATGCGCTAGCTTAACTCCTAGGGCAGTGACTCCAAAATGTGCGCCGCGGGACCTCGGGGAGTACTGCGACCTCTTCACAGGGGCGCCCTAAAATATTCACAGATAAACAAGAGTTTTTTTTTTTTTAAATCTCGTACATACGATAAGTCATGCTTTTACTTAGGTTAGGGCACCGTGGAAATTTTTCAGTTGAAAACAAAAAAGGCGCCGCGACAAAGAAAAGTTTGGGAATCACTGTTCGAGGGCATTACGAATGGCAATACTAAACTCATGATTATACTACTTCTAGACGGGCATAACGTTAAAGGTGAAAATGAGGATTTTCCAAAATCGCCTGTGTTGATCCAAAAGGTGCAAATATCGCAGCTTAGCTGTAAACCATAACACCACGTGACAACAGCCCTTTCAATGTCAGAAAGTAGAAGAAGAAGTGAACATTATATATTTGCTGCCCTTAGTTCTTTATTCCTTAGTTCTTTCTTCATTAGTTCTTTCTATATTAGTTCGCCTTGCAGCCGTGGTAAAGCGAAGAATGCCCTTTGCTAATCTACCTTTCTATTGTCTCTGTAGAAACAAACTTGCAACCAGACAGTCGTTTCAAGACCGAATTCATTGTTTAAATTACTTCATTCACATTTTTAGTCACCTGTTTTGCTTGCAGACAAAGCATTTACTTTGACGGTGTACCCAAATATAACATTAACTAAACGCAGCAGAAATTCGCCATCGCTTATGGTTGATTCTGCCATGTCCACTACTAATTTCATTCTTTACATTTTTTCTTGGCTGATTAACATGTTTTCTCATTCTTGAGCCGTCAAATGTATTTAAAACAGTGTTGCCACTTTTCTTTGACAAAAACATCCAAAACGGAGCCAAAAAATCATATAAAAACATCTAAATTTGCGTGGAAAACATCTTCTATCTTCTATCTTTCTACTTCTTTCTATGAGTGCCGATCAGTACACTTTCTGTTACTTGATTAATTCACAAACTACATAGCTATTGATATGACTTACCCTATAGAATCATGTCCTCATCTTGACTGCAGTCTGCCTCACAAGATCCACAGGATAAACTTAGCTTGGATGACGAAGTTGACGCTTCAGATCCAAAATGACCCTGGTATGCTTTAGCTGTTCCAATTTTTTTTAAAACCCAATCAGGGAGCTCTTATCAGGCCGAATTTTATTGTCAAGATAGCATTTAAGAGGTTAAATTTCATCCTGTTTCTAAGGTTAGATTTGATAAATTCACTCCAAATGAAAAAAAATCTAGAAAAACATCTATCACCTAAACGTCAAAAAAGCCATCTAAATGCAAGGGAAAACATCTAAATCTTGATGTAAAACATCCAAAGTGGCAACAATGGTATTTAACAATTGTGCTTTGTCATCTGGTTTAATTTTGATACGTAAGTTTTGTCTTACTTCGGTATGTTAAAAATTAAGTATTTATACAGAGAGAAAAGCTAATTACAAGTTCTCTAGTAATGAAACAAACATTTCTTTTTGTGACGAGAGTGCAGTCGACCTGGCAATCCCTTTCCCCCAATACGCAATTTTCCTCCGACTTTTTATTTTGGAACGACGTGGTAGCACAGTGACTACCATTCTTGTGGACGTCTGGTTATGTAACCTGTCATGCATGTCGTAAAATGTGAATAGGGAAAACCGGGCATGAGAGTGTCTTCGTCATCGAACAGAAAACTTGAGCTGTGAAATCCTGAGTCATGAACATGTCTTCCCAGATTTTGGTGTTGACAGCTGCGAGTCAAAGCTGTATAGAGAAGAAGGGCGATGCAGAGTAGCAGATGAAGGCGAAGAAGACGAAAGGAAGGAAGGAAGGAAGGAAGGAAGGAAGGAAGGAAGGAAGGAAGGAAGGAAGGAAGGAAGGAAGGAAGGAAGGAAGGAAAGGAAGGAAGGAAGGAAGGAAGGAAGGAGGAAGGAAGGAAGGAAGGAAGGAAGGAAAGGAAGGAAGGAGGAAGGAAGGAAGGAGGAAGGAAGGAAGGAAGGAAGGAAGGAAGGAGGAAGGAAGGAAGGAAGGAAGGAAGGAAGGAAGGAAGGAAGGAAGGAAGGAAGGAAGGAAGAAGGAAGGAAGGAAGGAAGGAAGGAAGGAGGAAGGAAGGAAGGAAGGAAGGAAGGAAGGAAGGAAGGAAGGAAGGAAGGAAGGAAAGGAAGGAAGGAAGGAAGGAAGGAAGGAAGGAAGGAAGGAAGGAAGGAAGGAAGGAAAGGAGGAAGGAAGGAAGGAAGGAAGGAAGGAAGGAAGAAGGAAGGAAGGAAGGAAGGAAGGAAGGAAGGAAGGAAGGAAGGAAGGAAGGAAGGAAGGAAGGAAGGAAGGAAGGAAGAAGGAAGGAAGGAAGGAAGGAAGGAAGGAAGGAAGGAGGAAGGAAGGAAGGAAGGAAGGAAGGAAGAAGGAAGGAAGGAAGGAAGGAAGGAAGGAAGGAAGGAAGGAGGAAGGAAGGAAGGAAGGAAGGAAGGAAGGAAGGAAGGAAGGAAGGAAGGAAGGAAGGAAGGAAGGAAGGAAGGAAGGAAGGAAGGAAGGAAGGAAGGAAGGAAGGAAGGAAGGAAGGAAGGAAGGAAGGAAGGAAGGAAGGAAGGAAGGAAGGAAGGAAGGAAAAAAAAGAAGAAAAGAGAGAATGAACCAGCCAAGAATGATAGAATTAAAGAAATATAGAAAAATAGAAATAGAGTGGGAAAAAACGAAAAAAAAGCAAAGAGAGAAAGAAAGAAAAAAATAATAATAGAACTGAAGAACTATAGACAAAAATAGGAATGGATGAAAAACGAAAGAAAGGAAGAGAGAATGAAAGAGGGAAAAAAAAAGAAAGAACGAAAGTAAGAAAGAAAGAAAGAAAGAAACTATGACAGACACATAAAAAGAAGAAAATCTCAAAGACTTTAATCGTTCACCTTATTTCCCCATTTCAAACCGTTTTAACATCTAATCATTCATGCAATTGTATGTTCCCAGGTGTGGTTTAACATCTAATCATTCATGCAATTGTATGTTCCCAGGTGTGGTTTAACATCTAATCATTCATGCAATTGTGTGTTCCCAGGTGTGGTTTAACATCTAATCATTCATGCAATTATATGTTCCCAGGTGTGGTTTAACATCTAATCATTCATGCAATTGTATGTTCCCAGGTGTGGTTTAACATCTAATCATTCATGCAATAATATGTTCCCATGTTTGGTTTAACATCTAATCGTTCATGCAATTGTGTGTTCCCAGGTGTGGTTTCAGAACAGAAGAGCCAAATGGCGGAAAAAAGAAAAGGTCGGAGGTCAGACGCATACATTTAATCCTTACCCACCGGGACTGGGTCTCATGGCTCGAGGGATGCTAGTTCCGCAACCAGCGACTCACCACTACCACCCTCATCATCATCTTCACCACCAACACCCTCTGTCATACTCCGATCTTCTGTTGAAAAGCTACGAGAACACGATGCTGTCGCGGCATGGGATGGCGTCAGGACTTCCGCCAAATAACTACTACTCCCAAACCGCATTTGCTTCCTTGGGGTTTCCCCCACCTGGCGGTCTTAGCTCGCTGAGGGTCATGGCTCCACTGTCACTACCCATACCACCTCCTGGATCGTTTCAGCACCTTTTGGCTAGCATGACATCGTCTGTTCTCAAAGCCAGAGAAAATGCAGAAGGATCTTCAGCCTCTCCGCCGTCCACTCCAGTGACCTCCGGCTCTAAAGCCAGCACGCCGTCGCCAAACAACGACCCAGATCCGGACAGAAGACCTCCATCAGCGACCTTGGTAACAAAGCCAAGTCACGGGGAAGAGTTCCGGAGTTCGGTAATGTCGGGTAAAGGAGACATTCGAAGTTCCAGTATTGCATCTTTACGACTCAAAGCCAAAGAGCACCAGCTGAGAATTGGTAAAGATACCTGTCCCCGAGTAGTATTTTAGAGTTGGGACACCACTGGATACTACAGGCAATCACTTTTTAGTTTACCTCAAGCTGTTGACATGTGTGGACTGATTTGACTGAAACTGGTATATTATTGTAGCGAGAACCTGAAGCGGGTTACCACAATCACAATGAGATCGTCAGTTGCTGATATAGACAAGGATTCTCAAATCAATAAGAAACCACTAATCCAGGAACACTATGACTACCATATTATAGACATAATAAAACAATAAGAAAAGGAAGGACTCTACATAGGAGCATGTACAGCAGGAGAATACAGACCCTCATAAGGTGATCCCTCTTTCCACAATTGTTTCGGCTCGCGTTTACCTTCCTAGACAATCTCGCGGGGGGTGGGGGAGGGGAGGGGGCGGAAAGACCCGGGGGGAGGGGTAGGGGGGTCCTGACTCCCAGACATCGGACTTCCGCTGCGCTGAACAGACAATCGGACAAGACGTTATGGTGGTTTTGCAACAGGTACTGAGGCTATGATGATATACATCGTCGCTGCGGTAGCAAATTAGGCCAAGCCCCCCCCCCCCCAACTCAACCCAACCACCCCACCCCGCAAAAGGGACAGTAGTCCCTTTCCTACTTCTCAGAAAAGAGCACAATCATGGGATTGACAGAGTCTCCACTAGTTTTCAAACTGGACAATGACATACATTGTGTGTACCTTCCACTGGCACAGGAAAGTAAAGGATCCCTCTCCAAGCCTTTGGGCATATAGGGCTGGACTTATATTTTACAGACCAATCGGAACTCGATGGGTGACGTGGTCAACATCACACCAACCGCCTTTACTTCCCAGGACTTACCTTGTACTCATTTAAGGTTGGTTCGACCCCAAGCTTATTTCTGAAGACACACACACACACACTCACATAAGTCCGGCTCCGTCAGCACCTGAACTCACGCCCTTACGATTCGCAGGCGAGGCCCTAGCCACTACACCACGGTGGCTTCACCATTTGCACAGCAACGAGGCAGCTAAATGTGGCCTATCTGCAGTGAAGGTGGAGCTTGGACTAACGACTAGAATAAGTAAAAGTTTCACACTTCACAATTCAACGTCTAGGTCGCTTATAATCTTCATCATTAATTTAAAAAAAAAAAATTAAGATTCCCGAGCCAGATTTGCATTCCATTGTCTGAATATCTCAAAGAAGGGATCAAAGGACTATAAATCACAGAACATCAAATAATCACATGGTTTGGTCATCTGGTCAAAATTCAACCAAATAAATTAGCAGCTAGATCGTACAGCATGAAAACAGCTGGTTGCAAGTCAAGAGGTCGACCAAGGAAGATACGGATAGAGAGTAATAGAGGAAATACAGAAAAGCAGTGTGACATAAACACAAGCCAAGTAAACGAGCTGAAGACAGGAAACTACATCTAAACCCCGCTCTGTGACGGTATATCGCATAAACAGTGGAACAAACGAAGAAGGCAAATTTCGGAAAAACCCCCTTCAACTATTTAACCGTTTGGCACAGTTATACTGGGACAGTTATACTGGGACACTTATACTGGGACAGTTATACTGGGACAGTTATACTGGGACACTTATACTGGGACAGTTATACTGGGACACTTATACTGGGACAGTTATACTGGGACAGTTATACTGGGACAGTTATACTGGGACAGTTATACTGGGACACTTATACTGGGACAGTTATACTGGGACAGTTATACTGGGACACTTATACTGGGACAGTTATACTGGGACACTTATACTGGGACACTTATACTGGGACAGCTATACTGGGACAGTTATATTGCGGGTTAATAGCTAAAGCTAATGGATGTCGCTTAGTGCAACAACAAAAAAACCTGGCATATGATATCACAACATCTAGTTTGAGAATGGAGGTAGAGGCGGTTACGCTGTCTTTCGCTGGCTTGAGAAATCGGCTGTACACACATGCCGTTATTGTTACTGACTAAGAGGTGTCCCAAGTTCTATAATGTCGATTCTTAATTCAACATTCGTCATTCAACATTCGTCATTCAGCATTCGTCATTCAACATTCGTCATTCAACATTCGTCATTCAACACATTGAGACACCACAAAAAGGTTAAAAAGTGACATATAGTTCAGTGGTGTGGGTGTGTGCGTGAGTGCGCACGCGAGGGTACGTGTGTGTATGTTTTAAAGAAGAAGAAGAGTGTTTTCAAAAAGAAATGAAAAAATATCTGGCTGTCTGACCATGTTCTAACATGACTTGCTACACAAGACAGTTTAACACTTCTATCCTTGAATTCAGACTCCATTAGCAACATTTTACGGCGCATCTCGATAAGTTGATGTGAAATGTATATTTGAACTATGTAAATAATAAAGCAATGAAGCCTCACACTAACCTTGCATTATTCTGAGTTGTGTGTATGTGTGTGTGTTAATCACGTTTGTAATTTTTTAATCTGCCTGTTATTACTGCATTGACTCCCAACAAACTCACGCCAAGTGGTCATAGCCTTTCATATCGATTGCGGTTGACTCTCTCTCTCTCTCTCTCTCTCTCTCTCTCTCTCTCTCTCTCTCTCTCTCTCTCGTTGTACCCCACCAGGACATCGAACAAGCCATAAACACCAGGTAACACAAAGTGCCACCATGCGGATGAGGATCACCCGCGGAGAGGTCCCAGAAACCCCTTTCAGCCGTTATGGCCATATCTAAGGCTAGGATATATCAATGATACCGCTATATTCAAAAGCCAGGGTGAAGCTTTAAATAACGAAAAATTGCATCCTACATGGGGACGACTAATGCGGTTAACTCCGTGTTCTTTCCATCTTTATAACTGAATTCTGTAGTCCCCTTCTCCGTGGGATTTTTCTTTTATCTGCCTTTTTTATCCCTATGCCTCTGTAGGTTCCAATCTCTTCTTCTTCTGCGTTCGACATCAGTCATGCTAAACATTGAGTCCTGTCTGGGTCACAAATAGGATTGTGCGTTTAGGGTCGCCACCGGTCCCCCATAGCTTCTCTTTCAATGTGGATCCCCTGGGCCAGATCCACAGTCTTTGCTGGGAAAGGTAAGGGCAGTACTGTAGTATGTGCTCAGGGGTCTGTCTTTCTGCTCCACAGTTACAGGCAGCAGATTCTTTTATGCCTATCCTGTGCAGGTGTGCTCGAAGACCACAGTGTTCAGTCTGAAGTCTAAAAATTAATGTTTGTTCTTTCCTGTTGAGTTTGTTTATGCTGTCACTCTCTGGTCTGTAATCTCCATTCTGCTTTCTCCACTCCCGCTTGAAAGACTGCTTCAGCGCTGTTTTGGTTTCCTTGTAGCTGTGTGGTGAATAAGGTTGTGGAAGATTACTACCAGCTTTTGCCAACTCATCTGCTCTCTCATTTCCTTGAACACCACAGTGGGCTGGTATCCACTGCAAAACCAGTTCTGCTTCCTTGGAGAGTAAGGTTCCAATGTAAAGACATTCTTGTTATAATGATCCTAATGTTTTCACAACGTGTGTCTTGTAGAATATTGGCCGTGCTAAGATCAGAGAAGTGATGAGATAAACACGGACAGATAAAAAGAGTGGCGATTTTCCCGTTCAACCTTTAGGTTATTTTAGGGCCCCCGGCAACAGCCGGAGTGGGGCTTTAAAATAACGAAAAATTGCGTCCCATTTTGGGACGGCTTCAACGCATGTATAACTTTAACAAGAAATTCCAGAGAAATTTGACTAAAAAGCTCAACAAAATGAAAAAGAGGAAAACGTGCACAAAAAAACGCAGCGTAACGTTTCGGCTGGGCAGCCTTTTTCAAACATAAGTGAGCTGCACAAAAGAGGAATGGAGAGTATGTAGATCTCTAAGGGATGACGTGAGCAACGTTTAAAAAAACTGTGATGTGGAATAAATGAAATAAAATAAAATAAACGATGGCTAAAAAATATAGTTACCAAAAAACAAAAACAAAAACAGTAATATTTGTAATATATAATATAATACTGGGAATAAAAAAAAATGTTAATGATACATAAATGATACTGATAAGAAATAGAAAAAAGTACTAAAATGAAATAATATAAAACAAACTTTAACACAAACAATTCTTTTACAGTTGGTTCCAAAAGTTGCGGCCAGCCGTACAAATCTGTAACTGGAAAAGGGGAAGATCAGAGCGCCAGTCGATCTGCCCCGTGTTCTCTGATGATGATGATTCTCACTAATCACTATCCATCTTCCCCGTGTGGGCTCCGGGCCCTGTTATAAGGAAAATAAGAATAGACCCATTGTCTACCCAAAAGCATGTCGTAAAAGTCGACAAACTGGGAGCTTCCTTTGAAGTCGGAGTACATCTGCTTGAGATGCAAGGAACCAACAGTCTATCTAGAAATAAGTAAGATCTGTCAAACGGATGAACACCCAAAACTCAGGTTCTGGAACAGGACTGCAGTCCAGAAGTGGACGAACAACCAGAACTTTCAACCGGAGTTTACAGCCTGTGAACACGAAGAAGAAGAAGAAGAAGAAGAAGAAGAAGAAGAAGAAGAAGAAAAAGAAGAAGAAGAAGAAGAAGAAGAAGAAGAAGAAGAAGAAGAAGAAGAAAGAAGAAGAAGAAGAAAGAGAAAAAGAAGAAGAAGAAGAAGAAGAAGAAGAAGAAGAAGAAGAAGAAGAAGAAGAAGAAGAAGAAGAAGAAGAAGAAGAAGAAGAAGAAGAAGAAGAAGAAGAAGAAGAAGAAGAAGAAGAAGAAGAAGAAGAAGAAGAAGAAGAAGAAGAAGAAGAAAAAGAAGAAGAAGAAGAAGAAGAAGAAGAAGAAGAAGAAGAACAACAACAACAACAACAACAACAACAACAACAACGAAAACAAGAAGAAGAAGAACAAGAAGAACGAGAAAAAGAACAAGAAGAAGAAGAAGACTATCCATTTACCTGATTGGTCTATAAAAAATGATAAATACCCGGTGACACAAAGTGCCACCATTCGGATGAAAAGATTCCAGTCCAACCAGAGCTTTATTTTCTTTCTAGAAAAACAAG